ATACAAATAAAAAAAGAATAAATATTACAAAAAGTATATAAAAATATATATAAAAATATACAATATAAAAAATGATCAATATTTTTTAAAGCAAAATATACATATATATATTTCTTAAGCAAAAAATAATTGTTCTTAAACAATTTCATAAATAATTTATATATAAATTAATTTCTCTCTACATTAAACTATTAATATTTATTATATTTGTTATATATGATAAATCATATATAATCTTTTCTTATTTATTTTCAATGTAGTTAAAGACATATTTAATAAATACAATTTAAAGTAAAAAAAAAATATTTCAAAATTCCTAACGAAGAGATCGGTGATTTCAAACGATTTATGGAAATTGTGCGAAATATTTAAAGATATTTCAAAACGTATCTCCAGCATTACCGATTCTTTGTTCGTTAGATTAAAAAAAGAAATTTAATTTTCAAAGAAGAAAATTTTTTAAAATCTTTTTTGAAATTATCTTCTCTTTTTTCACGTTATTTCAAGTAATTTTTATTGTTTCACCAAAGCACTTAGTCTCGATGCATCACAGAAGAGACATCATTGCCGCACACGAATTTCAAACTTCAATCACCAACTATTTATATCGTCTCGCGCAATATTAAAAAGTCGCGACTCGAAAGAGGAATACTCCGAGAAATTTCATTCGTCTACAAAGTCGGCAAAAAGAAAACAGAGATGATCCTCCCACACCTCGTCTCGCATCTGTTTGCCTTTAATCTCGCGCAGAATTCGAGTGACAAGGAGCAATCGTCTGGTGATATTTTCTGCGATTTAAATAACGAGTTTTACTTTCCCGCATATATCACTAGTAAAGAAACTCCGAGGTATTTGTATATCGATTATTATAGCAGAATTTTATATATTTATAATATACACACACTTATATATACTGTATTATACAATAATATATTAATTACTATATAGTATTAGTATAAAAGAATGATTGTTTATGTACCAAATGTTATAGAGTGCTGTGTTAATATATCATTACGACGCTATTTAATGCGCGTATCGTAGGTGACTGAACTTAAACATGAATGTGTAGACACTGTCTAGGAATCGATACTCGGCTGCTAGTAGTAACTGGTTCAATTGCTATAGCAACATCTAATCAAAACAGAAGACACGTAGTTAGAGCGTGGCATGTTAATCATATGAAAAGAGGAAGGTATTCATATTATAATAGTAAATTAAGAAGATAAAAGAAACATTTTTTATATAAAGTTTTATTTTTGAGAAAATTAATTTTTGAAATTGAGGAAAAACTAATATTACACATATTTATTGAACTTATTGAACTTTAATGAGATTTTTAATTATTTTATGAAAAATTACTTATACATATATATAGTTTTTTCGACTTCTCTTTCTCTCTCTCTCTCTCTCTCTCTCTCTTTCTCTCTCTCTCTCTCTTTCTCTTTCATATCTGAACTATTCTTTATATCTTATAATATTTTTTTGTACTAATAATATAAATCTATAATAATATAAATCTATAATATAAATCTATAATAAGGCGTTTTAGTATTACGCAACTGAGGAAAGTGATTCGGTTAAGAGGGAACGCGAGAAAGTGAATCTCGTTCCAATAAATCTCATCTTCAATCAACTTAAAACGATGTTAAATTATTTGAAAAGGCGCAGCACGCGCACTAAAAGTCGAAACCACCAAAATGTACGACGATACCTTTTTCAAATTATTTTTATCATGTAGAAGCGCGCCTTTAAATCGGCGACTTAAAGGGGACCAACCATCCCCCGAATTCCGCATATGATCAACATTTGTAAAAGTATTGCATTTGCGTTAAATCATCAAGGATGCCATCGTACAGTAAACTCTTCTTTCTTTACATGATGTTTTTGACAATATCAAAAATAATATATTGATTATGATTATCTAATGAAAATAAAATTAGAAATTGCACAAATTTTTAAATGTATTGCGAATAAGAAATATGTATAATGAAGTATAATTTATAACTCACGAAATAAATGAGTATAATTTATAAACTAACTTAAGGAATAACTATAGTCATTATAAAATTGATTAAGTAAAATTTACAAAAAAAGAAATATTATTAAAACAATTATTATATAATTGTAGTGACGGAAATTTCATTTGCTTTATTAAATGTGTAATAAATACATGCTGATTAAATATTTCTTCTTCGATATTTTTCTTAAAATACAAGTTGCCGATTGTGCATGTTTAATTAATAAAGCAAATTTTGCACGTTTGTATAAATATTATTTTTTTATGTTGAATCTATAGTTCTATTTTTGATGTAAAAATGACAACTTCCAATTCTTCCGATCTTTTAAAAAATGAAAGTTATATATATATATATATATAACTTTCATTTTTTAAGAGATATTTCCTCCACTTTAAAAACATCCACAATTATCCTCGAATATGAAGTGGACTGTCTGCGCGATTATGCCTAAGCACGACGAGGTCCGTTCCATCATCGCCATCTCCCTTGCCGACCCTCGTATTAGCAGCCACCCCATTGTCCCGACAGCTTAAAAACGTTTTAAACTCGGCGCGCGGATAAGAACAGATGGTCCTCGCCCAACTAAGCTACGTGCAAGTTAATGCTCTACTGAATATTCACGAGTAGTTTTGTAATATGTGACCTCCCAACTTTCATGTATCTAGCATATGTGTAGGAGTCTGCATGTGATAAGCCCATTTTAGATTATCCATTATTTGTTCCGTCTTGTGGTTTACTTGTGCCCATAATTTTATATGTTAAATAATATAATCGCGATCTTATTTTCAATCTCTCAATTTTAAAAAATGGATTTACATACATGCTGTTGTGTGTGTGTGTGTGTGTGTGTATGTGTGTGTGTGTGTGTGTGTGTGTGGTGTGGTGTGTTATAATATGTCGTCTGTTATAATATTTTTGCAATTAAAATACATTAAAAAATATATTTTTATCTCATTATGTGTAATTTTATATATGTGTGTATGTAAAGAAAGAAAATTCTTAATATATATACATATATATGTACATATATAAAAACAAATACAACACACTCTCTCTTTATTAAAGAAATAAAATTTATTTATATGTGGCTTCCTTCTCTCAAGAAAAAATTTAATTTTATTTAGTTATATATCACGAATGTGTTTAGATACGTTTTATATTATTAGTATTTAAATTTTTATTGTGTTTTCTATTTTCGCATGTGTTTTTAGCTAAATACTTCAATTTTCACCACAATTTTTCAAAAGCAAAATGGATTTTTACGAAGCAGTGCACTATACATTCGGACGATCTATCACGTTTTGAAAACTACCCAGGGACCGGAAATGAAAGGAAAATATCGCGAACATTAATTCTACAAAGATGCGATATCTCGCCCCCGATACATGACAAAATTTGCATTAAAGACAGGATTTCACCGACGGGCTTCCCCAGGTATCAGAGTGACACTTTACTTTCCGCCCCTGGAACATTTTAACCCCTTCCATCACTTTTCGTGTATCCTATGTATATTGTCATTTATATTTCCTCTATATTGTTCAATATTTATCTCGAAAATATTATTTAAAAAAGAGATATATTGTCACATTTTACGTTTATCATATTTTTAAAAAGATTATTGAGATAATTTATATTGTAAACATATACTATATATATATATATATATATATACAATAAATATATATATATATATATATATATATATATATACAAAATAAATTTATTCTTAATTATTTTTTAGACACTAATAAATTATGTTAACAAAATATTAATAAAATGTAATAAAAGTCTAGGAAAGGAAATCAATCTTAATAATATAATAATCAATGATCATGATCATGATCAAATGTCATTAGAAATTGAATCCTCTTTTCTAAAGTTTCATCAACATTTCTTCAAAAATTTAATTTACGAAAAGTATTGTCTTTTATATTTTCATATAATATCCTTATTTATTTTAAAAAACTTGATTTTAAATATTTATATTGATAAAATAATCTGCAATAATAATAAAACTCTTAAATTATTTAAAAGGTAACTTGCATTTATCTTTTCGGTTAAAAATATTTTTTTGGTCTCTCAAAATTTCTTCGATATCTTATACGCTGATATCTTTTCGTTTTCTTTTTTTAAATTTTTTTGTCATTTTTCTATTTGCGAAACATCACAACGTCGTGTGATTTTCACAATGGGAATGTTGAATTTTAAATTCTCGGCTCGTGTTCGAAGAAAAAAAATATAGAGAGATAAAAAATAGAAATAACGCACGCATAGGTAATCAAAGCGAAGTTTTTCCAGACTCGCCGAAAATTTCCGTGCGACAGCACTCGCTATTCCCTCGCCTCACTGTGATAAATGGCGTCAGTTTCTCTTGTGCGTCACGCAATTTCCTCTCTTGCAGCGGCAAAGGACACGCTTATTCGCATCCCAGCTTCCCGCGCGGATATTCACGTCGAGACACGTGCGAATTGCCGACTATAGGGTGTTCTAGAACCACCCAGGTGTCGAATCGATTTTTTCTCAAAAAATGTTTCGACGAGAATATATTTTTTTTCTCGCCAAGGAGAATTTTTCTCAAATAAAAATCAATATTTTATGCAAACAAAATTTGTGGTTTATAATAAAATAATTGAAAAATAAAATTTTAAAAAATTGAAATTTCAGAAAATGAAATAAAATATTGGGAAAGCAAATAGACAAAATTATATCTTCAATTAAGTTTAATTTATAATAAGAATTTATTAAGACATTACACACACACACACACACACACACACACACACACATACACATATATATGTACAATATATGTAATATTAGTATGTATAAGATTTTTTTAAATTATTATTAAATAAATCCTGCATATCTTCTTCAAAATATTTTTTCAATTATGAAAATTTAATTATAATATTTTCCATTATTGCAAATTATGACATATAGTGACTATTTTATATTATTGATTTATTGATTTATTATACTCACTAACAAATAACTGGACGCAGTGCTGCTAGTGGATTCTCTTTTTCTCTGGGATCCAAAGTCTCTTTGAATTAGCGACGTCATCTTTCTCTTAGTTTATGATCACACAATAAATTTCACAATACACATTTATCGAATTCAAATATTAAATCAAATAAAATATTAACATCACAGGTTTTAAAAATAAAATAAACTAAAACACCTCACTTTTCACATGTACGTCATTTATCAACGATCTGCATCTGTAACAAAAAAGAAGCAATACAATAATTAAATGCACAAAATTAAGAAATTTTTTTAAAATTTTATCAAAATATAAAAGAGAAATAACATGAGTAAAATAATGCATATACAGGGTTGGGCAAAAGTCCGGAAACGGTCAAATATCTCGAAAAGGATCAACTATAGCGAAAAATTGTAAATAGCAAAGTTGTAGGGCTTAAAAAAATGTACCTAATGATGACTAAAAATTTTACTTTGAGTGGAGGACGAAGATCATATAAAAGTCAAATTGAATTTTTTAAATGGAACTGCCTACTTTTTATTGCATATTCTTATAGCTTATCTCGAGACTTTTCCAAAACACTACAGACAAATGTTTTTTCATTAAGTACTTTTTGAGTTATAAGGCTTCAAAGTTTGCAGTACTTCGATATAAAATGCAAAATATCTCGTAAAATATTTAGTTTTCGGTAGTCTTACCCTAATACTTTTATGCACAGGATAATGAGACAAAACTATTGGTGCAAAGAAAACGCATGATTGTTTATAACAAAAAGTGCATTGCAAATTACACATTTTTTATCATAAACAATCATATGTTTTCTTTGCACCAATAGTTTTGTCTCATTATCCTGTGCATAAAAGTATTAGGGTAAGACTACCGAAAACTAAATATTTTACGAGATATTTTGCATTTTATATCGAAGTACTGCAAACTTTGAAGCCTTATAACTCAAAAAGTACTTAATGAAAAAACATTTGTCTGTAGTGTTTTGGAAAGGTCTCAAGATAAGCTATAAGAATATGCAATAAAAAGTAGGCAGTTCCATTTAAAAAATTCAATTTGACTTTTATATGATCTTCGTCCTCCACTCAAAGTAAAATTTTTAGTCATCATTAGGTACATTTTTTTAAGCCCTACAACTTTGCTATTTACAATTTTTCGCTATAGTTGATCCTTTTCGAGATATTTGACCGTTTCCGGACTTTTGCCCAACCCTGTATACATATAATATTTTGATTTATGTATAATATTTGAAAATTTGCGGCATTGGACTACTAAAAGTATTATATTATATTATAATATATTATATCATTATATATGTAATTATATTACATAATACGAAATTTTATATATACATATATATATATATATATATATATATATATTTATATGTATACATATGTGCATACGTGCATACATATATATATATATATATATATATATATATATATGTATACATTTTTTAAAAGTTATTTAATAAAGTTGTAAATGTTAAATTTATTAATAATATAAACACTTTTAAATTATAAATCTCAGTTTAGTTAAAAAAATATATCTAGTAAGATCTGTAGATGTAAATAGCAAAACATTTTTAGGAAAACATTTTTGTTAATGCAGTAGTTATGCACAAGGAGATTTATCCCATCCCATGGAATTATTTGGCTTTTCTTCCGCCATGATTTTCATAACGCGCAAGGGAACGTAAATAGCTAGCATCATGACTTATTCACGAATTATTCCCGTTTGTTTCCTTTTCTCATCGCATCGCGCTGTCCCTGCGAATTCTTTTCGAGTTTATTGTGCTCTTCAAAAAGGTCGCGGCCTTGACAACTCCCATGGCATAATTTCGAACTTGACTTCCTCCAAGAAATGTTTGCCACAAGTTTTTACACTTCCTTGAATTAATGCGTACATACAAAAGAACATCGGCAAATAAAAACAATTGCATAAAGAAATAAAAAAATCAAAATTCTTAATAATTTAAAAAATTTTTTAGCTAATATATAATAATTGAATTATAAAATATTAATATCATATCAAAAGTATTTTAAAACATGAAAATTCCTATTAGTAAAAAAAAAAGATTTTAATTTATTTGTATTTACAAATAAAAGTTAATATTTATAACTATGACTATTATTATATATTGATCGCATGCAATTAAATTAATTAATTAAATTAAACCCATAAAACTCAACTAAACTCAATTAAAATTAATCTTTTCATTGTTGATATGCAAGATATCGCCGATTAAATTTAATTAACCGTTTGGAAATTTAATATGAACCCACTATGAGAAATTATTGAGTCATCTATTTCACATTCTCGTCAACATAAAAGGTGAGTGAAATAGGATGTGTATCAGGATTACACTTGCTTGTTATTAATTTTAAAAATGTACTTATCTTCTCATCGAAGAAAATATCTATATAAATAAAGGGTTATTTTTACAAGATTCACGAACGATTTTACTTTCGCAAAATTTGTACCTTTAAGGGCATTCAATTCCGTCGAAGAAAAAGTCAACGAGCGAATTATCGCGAGTAGATAACGGTGCAATTATATCTCAGCATATTATTACACAAGACAATAACTTCCGCTTCCGTTCCTTTCCTTTTTTTCAGCGAATTAAATGTAAATATCGTGAGATCGTTAACGAAATATTAGCAAAATATATAAGCTAAATATTCGTTGGCAACTCGCTAAATGTAAAAATACTCTTGACCGTCCGACGTCATCGTTAAGGATCGTTCGAACGATTTCGCGAGCGAATCAATCTTAATCGAGACTAATCAGCGCATTGCACCGCCACATGCGTCTGTCAAGAGCAGCTGCAAGCATTTCAAGAGAGTAATATACAGAGAATTATACTACATACGCCCGTCTTTTTACATACATATATTTTATGTTCGTTGTATTTGATATTTTAATACTCTTAGATTTAAAAATTTATTAATTTGTTGGAAATTTATAAAATAATAAAAATAAAAGAAATATTATCCTAAACAATTGCATGTATGACATAGACCCTTTAAAAATATTTCGAGAATAACGGATTTTGAAAAACAAATGTTTTGGATAAAAAAATGCAATTTATATTATACATTTATTTTATTAAATTATTTAAACTTTTTAATAAGATAATTTATTTTATTAAATTATTAAAAACTTTCAATAACTTTTTTAATAACTTTTTATTTTTATATGTCTTCTGAAAATACTTTGAGCGCAACAGATTTTAAAAAATAAATGTCTTACAATTATAGATAAAAACAAATACAATATATTTTGTACATTTATTTTATTAAATTATTAAACTTTTAATTAGATAAAAGTTTAATTATTAAACTTTTAATAAGATAAAAATATACAAAATTATATTTTTTCTGTGTTTGCAACTTTGATATTTGTAGCAGTTTTGCAGAAGAAATTCTGCATATTAATTGCGCTGTATAGCAACAGGTGGCAACAGCAACCGCAACAAAGAATATTTCCTACAAAGCATATATGTATATAATGCTACAAATGGAATTGCATAAGTATACACGTCCCTACATATACAAAAGAAAAATAGAATTCCCCTAATCTCACGTCCGTCAATTCCATTAAGTACCAATCAAGCACCATTCAGCAATTCTTATTAATTAACTTTCAAGAAAATTTGAAAAAGAAGGATATTTTAATCAGATACAAATTTTTTTACGTAAATTGTAATACATATACACATTAATTGATTGAAAAGTTTGAATTAATTAATTTAATTAATAAATTATTTTTTATTTTATTTTATCTTTTTTATTATGTATAAGTATATGTATAAAGTAGGTTCTAGAAAAAAATTCACATATATGAAAAAATAATGAAATATGCACACAAAATATAATAATATATAAATATTCATTTTATTGTTAATATCACAATTATAAATTTTTAAAATATTTTTTTAATAATTTGCATATAAATAAATAAACATATATATATATATATTTTTTTTTTTATAATTTATGTATATGTACATATAAATACAGTATTAGTATTTATGTATATATAATTAATTACATTAATTAATATTTATTACTTAGATTCAAAAAACGTACATCACAATTCTTGGAAGTTCCAGAGGAATTGTTATTAGAATTTTACACCATAACGAAGATCAGACATTCCATATATAATAAATTCTACCGTATGATTATACGGCGGATTCAAGTCTCTAAAAGGTAGGCGAACGGTATTGTTCTTCATTTCCTCGACTGCGTTTCTCTCACGCCTATATATCCGATTGTCATACCGAATGTGAGAACAAGGAAAAAAGAAAAAAAAAAAGAAAAAAATGACATTTTTTCTTCTTCCTCTTATTTTAGGAATAATACTGATTAAGTACCGGTTAGTCGAATTCGGGAGCAAGAAATTCACGAATTCATACGAATAGATCGCGAACGTGAGGAAGGTGCATTCCTAAGAGGCGCCTACCGTAGTTCCTGTTCTGTGAATGTAAGAAAAGGCCCCCCGAGTTCAAGGCAGGTGAAGGTAGACAGTTAATGCCTTCGAATTTATGAGGGGAATATCCGAATGAAAAACCGAATCACACTGTTCGTTCGAAACTCGAGCGGACACGCGCGTATGAATGCTAGCGCCCGAAATGTGGTTTGATTCATTTGATTTAAAAATTACAAGTGACTATACTATAACAAAAGCACAGTATTCCAAAACTTGCAAAATTTATTCCTTATTATAATATAAAATTGTTTATTTTTCTTATAATTTTAATGTACGTATAATTATCCTATTATACCTCGTTTTACTTGTTAAACTAGAAGTTTTTTAAAGAAATTAATTTATTTTTATTTATTTTTCTTGAAAAAGAAAAACTTCTTCGATAGACAAATAAATATACATTCTTTTTCAATATTAATTTGATATTAATTGTAAATAATGACAAAAAAAAGCAAAATATTTTTGAAATTAAATAAAATAGGTTTATTCTATTTTTTATATTTTTCTTCATTAAAGGGATTTCATCTTGTTTTTGTCCTTTTCTTTTTCTTAAATTTATTTTTTTTTTTTATGTAAGATTTTTTTCATGTTATTTTATGTTTCTTTTTTTTACAATTTTATAACTTCAATAAATATTTTCAATTTTAATCTTCATATATGTATATTATTACGATGCAAATAAATTTAATTAACGTATAGACTGGAGCATGATTGGAGCTATTTTCATCATGCTCAATGGCACTTAATTAATAATGCACGTGTGTTTGCCGCTCGTTTGATTACGAAAGAAACGATGTTTGTGGTATAGGCTACTTGCATAATAATTAATGACATCATGCACGAGAGAATAATCACTTGTGAGAGGTGTTTATTCGCGTGCCTGTTGTAGAGGAATAAATTATGGAGATTCTAAATCGATGCAATAACCTTTAAATACGGAAGATTCAGTAAAGAGAATAATTTATCGCTATTTTATTTTTCAATTTAATTCTCACGATTAAAATGTATCATTAAATTATATGTTTAAATTAATTATATATTATATCTAAAACAAAAGAGATATGATTAAATAAATATATTGAATTTAGTTGATTCTATTGAATTTAGTTCCCTATAATAAAAACTTAAAATTTTCTTTTCTATTGATTATATTACATATATGTTAAGATCGATTTTTCTTAGAAAACATTTTCCATTAATTAAAGGAAGCATGCAAAGCTAGAAAAAATTGAAAATTAGTGATAAATTATAAAAAAATACATCCTATTGAGAATCACTTCTATCAATTCACTAATTAATTAAAATACATGTATACATATATTGCATGTATATATATTACCTAACACACAGCACATATACACAGCACCTGTACACAGCACCTGTAATTGCGTGTTCTTCCGTTCTTTTTTCATTTTATCACTTATAGGACTCGTGTCAACCGAGAAAAGAAATTCAATTTGCTCGGACGATCGAAATCATTTTCGTCGCAATTAATAACAATCGATTGTGACTCTGAAAAATTTTAAACATCGCGACGTTCGAGTTAGGAGGACGATTATTTTTAGTAGCGCGGACTTTGACAGGAAGAGGCGACGACGAGAGCACGTAGGGTCTCGGGTACCACTAGTCCCAGCATTAACGCCATCAGCACCATCAACCGCCTCCAACCACCACCACCACCATCATCACCATCACTGCCATTGAGCTGCGTTGCTCTTAGCTGACAACGACCTCAGATGCGTCGACAACTTCTATGTGTGTGAACGGATTCTTATATTGTAAATGTAACGTATACAAGGTGGTCTCAAAGCGACCGCGTATCGTGATTTTTTTCAAGAACAGCTTACAATAGAGAAAAATGGTTCAAGGAAAAAATGAATGAAGTAACAATAAAAACAATTCTTTCTATGACTCATTGAATATAACAATGCACTGAATACAATACACCAGAAAAATGCGACTGCACTTTTTTTTAACGAATTATTCGATTGAACAAATCGATTCTTTTAAATAAACTGCGTAATAAAAGTGTAAAGATAAATAGCGAGTGAAAAAAACGAAGGCAAGAGATATTTCAAATTTTATTTCTCTTAAAGAAATATTAAAAATTATTTTAAATTTGTCAAACGTTATAAGATATAAGCAAACAAAGCTGTTAACAATTATTTCATAGGCAAAGTTCTGTTTCCCCACTAATTAAAACGTATTAATTAATAAAAAAAGATTAAAACGTATTAATTAATAAAAAAAGGAAATAATTTATTTTATACATTTTTTAGAGAAATATTTTTATATTTCTCTTTATCACTCTGTCGAGAATGATGTTAATAAATCATCTCCAAAATAAAGACAACTAAAATATACAACTGTTTTGTGATTAACATGAAACGCATCTGTATTAATAGCAAAATAATTCATTGTTATCAATTTCTTATATAAGCGCGCAGCCATTCTTCATTATATAGTTAAACGCCGTTTCATTTCCGCTCGCAGTTCGTTATTATCATACGCTAATCGAGGTTTCCTTTCAGAATGCATTTACACGGAGATAAACACTTTATTGACGCAATCATTTAATTAATATATTACTGTTAATATATTAATATTTGACAATATATAATACACGGTAAAAAACATCTTTCTGTTAAAATTTTCTCGTGTAAAAATTTTTATGTTAAATTTTTAATATACTCTTATGTTAATGTAACATATTATCGTTGCGTTATTTTAACACTTCTGCGTTGAGTTAATATTCACCTAAGAGTTAAAATAACACAATTAATATGTAAATGCATGAATTTTTGATGAAATATGTTATATGATAAAATAAATAGGTAAGTTATGTTATTTTTCTCTCTATAACAGTTTACATATGTTAGATCGACATATCTCTTCTGTTATTTCTGTTATTATCATAAAAATGTAAGAATAACATTTTCTTTTAATTAAATTTAACATTATAAATATGTTAATTTAACATAAACTTTATTTCCAGATAAAGTTTAAGTGTTACACTTTTGTGTTAATTTTTAAACATATTACTTGTGTTATTTATTTATATACTTGCCTTCTGTTATTTATTTACATACCTGCCTTCTGTTAAATTAACATTAAAATTAGAGTGGATAAATTGGGACATGTAAAATATGTTAAATTTAACACAAAATTTTTTACTGCGTACATTTCATTAATACATTAAAGTCATTAATTAATTCTAACTTCAAATAAATTTATATATTTTGATCATTTTATTTTTAGAAATTATAAGAAAAAGAAGAAAATAATAATATTCATTTCAATTAATAAAATATTATTGTTATTATTATTAATTATTATCATTAATAATTAATTAATTAATTAATAATTTATTGACTAATTAGTCTCTTTTAAAGAAAATTATTTATACGTGTTGTTTTTTGCACTTTGATTTTAATAGCTTTTTATTTGCGTATATTAATAATCAAATACATTCACATATTAATAAATCGAAAATTATCCAATAAAATAGTAAATAATATATTACAGTTATCGTACTATATCAATGATAAATATAATGTATATATAATGTATATACACATATAATGTGTGTATATGTTAAGCATGAATTTTAAAAATACCGAAAGTATAAAAATATGAATATAGGATTTAAAAAACTTTGTGATAACTATGATTTAGAAAACATGATAAATCAAATCACATCAAATAAATATAAAATGTTCTACAATAATTTATTTAAAAAATAAATAAATTAGAATAAAATCGCATTGTGAAATCAATTAATCATGATATAAATTGTTTCAAAGACATAAGTTGCTTCAAAAATTATGTGAATTATAACTGATTTTTCAAATGTTTGTACAAAATAAGAAAAATAAGTTATTTTTTTGCTTCCGTATTTCTTATTTCTTATTTATTTTATATTTTTGCTATTAAATGTAATTTTATATTTAATAATAAAAAATTGATGAAAAATATGACTTAGGAAAGTGATACGCATAAAACAATTCTCTTCTACGCACGTACACGCACACGCACGCGCGCGCACACACACACACACACATATACATAAAATTTTATTTATATAAATATATATTGAATTTTACATCTTACGTATATAATGAACTGATCATTTTCATTTATTCACTGGACATTTATTTGTCCGACTTACAAAATCAATTTAATATCTGAAATCTGAAGTTGCTCCACTAAAAAACTTGTATCAGAAATTAAATTGAAGCAAAATATTTTATAAAAATATTTGCAAATCAAATTATATAAAATTATATCAAGTATAATACTCAAGCAAGAATTCTAATATAATTTTGCATAATTCGATATGGAGTTATAAATATCTTGATATAACAATATAAAATAACATATAAATGATAGTATAAATAGATCTTAATATATATAATTATATGTAATTATATTTAAATTTATATATTTGTGTATAATTATCTATAAACTTTTTTTCCCGGGTTTTCATACAGATATAGTTTTTAGATGAAGATAGGGTCTATAAATCCATATAAATCGCGCCGGATCGTATGTAACCACATATACTACTAGCAGCGCAGTTCATCTAACAAATGGCGCTGATTAAGTAAATTTCATTTAATAATTTGTTAAAAAGAAAATTACTTTAACGTTCTGAAAAAAAGAAATTTAAACATAATTATATATATATATATATATATATATATATATATATATATATATATATGTATATTTCTTTTCTTTCTTATACAACTTGTATAACTGTTATACTTATATATATATTTTCCTAAATGTATATATGTATATATATATATATATATATATATATATATATATAGGAAAATAAGAAGAATAATGGAAAAATAATTTAAAAATAATTTTGGAAAAAGTAAAATTGCAATTCTTATTTTTATTATACGGGAATAGAGATATAAGAGAAAAAAATATGTATAAACATGTATTTAATATATAATTATATATATTTATATTTGATTATACATAAACTTTTTTTCGAATTTAACAATTAATGACAATTTACTCTATATATTATTTACTCTTTATATTGAGAATATAACGTGACATTCACGATGTACTGATTGTAAAATCAACGAAGTATTCTTTTTGTTATGATTATTCATTTATGCATCGTTAAAATCACATAATCAATCGATAAAGATCGTCGAAAGTAAATACACATTATATCTTGATAGCAAATTATTTCTACAAAGCAGCACAGCATTTGTAATTTGTTTATCACTTCCCTACGCTTCGAATCCCGGAAACGCGCACATAATTGTGCGGATGGAAAATCGACAAAGCGAGATATATGTTGAAATCATCGTTGATTTCTCATTTCCGGTCGCGAGAACAAAAGAAAAAAACAGAGTTGTATCATTCTGCGTACTTTAAGCTCAAAATAAAATGAAGTCTATAATAAATAAATAAAGTTTTATCGACACAAGTCCATATTATTTCTGAACTATATATATATATATATATATATATATATATATATATATATATATATGCATATAAAGAAATTGATTAATTCATAAACATATGTACATATAGAAGAAAGAGACCAATATATTTTTCCTTAATTAATTATTTATTTTAAGACGTGTATACATTTGCGTCTTTCGCATTCGCCCCACACACATACGTGTACCATATAATATAATTATAAAATAATCGTAAATTTTTAAATTATGAAATAATCGTAAATTTAAAATTAAACAAAAAAAGTTTATGTTCAATTTTGTTCATATTTGATTGAATTGAATATTTCACAATAGACGCATATATAGGGTGTAATTGAAAAAGTCCCCACGGAGCAAATTATTCCTGATTAAAAATTGAATCAAAAAGTCCTGAACCATTTTTTTTCTATAATAAGCCTTCTATAGTCTCCTTGTCGAAATTCTCTTTAAGGAAACGCTTTTGACGGAAGAAATATGATTTTTAATACAAAATAAAGTTTTTCGCATTATTACGACGCGCAAGGAATCTGTTAATTTCCTATACATTATTTAAGGAATATAAGTTTGGTGATTTTTACTTAAAAGTCGATTATGTTTAAAAAAAAGCACTCCAGCTGTGTAAGGAACAATTTTGCGTAAGAAAGAGAAAAAGAGAGACAATTCTATCCATATCTTTCTATATATTTCAACTTTAATTAAAACATTTTATAAAATTAAGCATTTGCAATAAAAACAGTTATACATAAAAACAGAACAGGTGAAATTTCCAATTTCAGATGTCATTTTATTGATCCACTATGTTTAATAATTGCTCGATTGTAATTGAACTATATTTATGTGATTTTACATTTGCCGTTGTCAAATATTATATTTATTATTCTCATTTATGAAATAATATTTATATTTATTATTATACAATCACAAAAAAATTGTTTTTTATTAATATATTGCTTTATAAAATTTAAATAAAGCCTTATTCTTTTTACTACCTAAGAATTATTAATATTTTCTCCTTGAAATCTAAACGTTAAAATCATTATTTCTTAATATTCTGCAACATAATTTTAGATCATCATAATTTTTTTAATAGCATAGTACAAAATTAGTATTAATTTGAGTCAAAAATGAAGGAAAGCATTAACT